GCGTTGCGGTCAAGCGGGGGGGGGGGGGGCAGGGGGAGGTGTTACGTAACTTGCTTATATACATTATGTGTATTCTTTAATAACTCCATAAACTGGGGGACATTTTTAAAAGGAAGTTTCCTAGAAAGTTTTTGAAAACTGCAAAAATATATTTATCTGTAAATATATTGTTGATTCTTTTACAGAAAGAAAAAAAAAAGTTTGCACTATCCCATGAAGATGTCTTATGATTAGAACTGAAAACTGGAGATCTGAGAAAAAGTTTTCCTTTTGAGTTTAATTAGTAGTTTCAAAAGTATACCTGGTTAAATACGAAAGCCACGCAAGACTCAGGAGGTAGTTAACTTATTCTAACAGTGATGATTCAAGTTTGATGACAGCCTTTCTGCAGATAATCCCTAAGCAAAGCATACGATTATGTATCTGCTTCACAAGTTACCCCATACTGCAAATCAATGTTATTTGCTACAGAAGTTCCTTCACCGGACTGGCAACAAACCAACAATTTACATTTGCATGGTGATTCACACAGAACACCAGCCTTGGAAACTGTTGTTTGAAACAAAGAAAGAATTACTGTAACAGAACAACTTCCTTGAAAAAGAAAATGTATGAAGTTTAAAGCTGTCCTGTCAAGAGAAAAGGCTTATCTTTCAGAGGGCTTAGAGTACCAATTCCTGAATGGCCACTTATAACTTTTTCTTTACTGTTAGGAAAGCCACACTAAGGAGCAAGACTGGATTTTACAGAGTAAATGTAACCTGCTGAGGGGGGAATAATCATTTGACATTTCTTTGAACTCTTCTGCTTAATTAAGTTTCCAATGCCAATAAAATGTAATAAACGTTATACCAAAGAATGCCAATTATAGCATATGTCAGCAGAGATAATAAATTAGTTGCAATAATGAAATAATTTTGGAGAAACTTATTGTGATGATGTCAAAATAGTGGAAAACTGAACTAAAAAAAAGCAGGAAAGTGTAAAAGTATGTTCCCACAGACAGTGTCAAGAAGTGTTAGTTTTGGTACCTAGTTGGAGACATTATAAACATGATGGATAGCTATTGTATTACATTTACACAGTAATCACAGGTGTCAGTTACTACCCAAAATCTTGAGGCATCAACCTATTATTCTTTGCTTGGTTGTCCTTGCTTAGACCAGGGGTGAGGTTACCGGTGTTTTTATCTGTGGAAACGGAGGCAACAAATCAAATATGGGCTCCAGATTTTCTCCATCTCAAAAAGAAAAACAGAGTTTGCCTGCGGCAGTTCTTTGCACACCTAACAGTCAGAGCTGTGCCAGACTGGCGCAGAAAAATAACCCACTACCCTTTAGATTTACATCTGTTGCTGTTTGGAACTGACTTCCCAGTTTTGACTGTCAAGTCCATCCAGAATCACTGAGTTATCTCCATTGCTGTGTTAAACTAAGAGATTCTGCCTAAGCACTCCATGTGCCATTGCCAACCACCAGCAGAACAGGAAGAGTATTTTTCATTTCGATTCATTTTGCTGCTTATATGCATAGAATGGACCAGCTCACTGCACTTTCTTTCAGAAAAAAATGAACTTGATTTGGAATTCATTACACAAGTTTCCTTCCCATCTGCAAAACAAACGGCCTGAAATGGAATGAGTATTTATATTAATGTATTCGCAGCAATAAAAAAAACCCCCACATTTTTCCTACAATAAACTAATGAAACCTAGTGTCCTAAGGTTGTTGTGGTTTTTTTTTTTTTGATCTTGTAACCCTTGCTCCCGACACAGAAGTACTCTTAGTTCTTACCTTTCTATATAATTTTCTCTTCTCCAGTACCTGCCACCCCCTCCCTCCTGCTCTGTAACCATCTCCCATGTGGCTGAAGTAGTAACACTGTGCACACACCACAGCTGCTCCCTCAGCGGGGAACTATTTGGTGCCTGTCTTCCCCGGTCAGCCCCTGGTTTCCCTGAAACCTTTGTCCATCCATGCCTTTGAGGCTCCTTCCCCTTGGCAAGCGTGCCGACGTTGGCTCACGCAGTTCAGAAGTTATGAATGAAGGGAAGGCAGGAAAGCGATCTCCCTAAAATTCTTCTCCTCAGGTAAAGGAATGGCATTTATATATCATCAGTGAGAAAACATTAGTAACAAAGAGTGAAAAGAAACTAGTAGGTGAGTTTTTTAGTACATTAAGACAAACCACTTTCAAAAGATTGCATACCTTGAAGACACAGAGCTGCTAGTTCAACAGCAGTTTCATACGGGCATTTCAGTCTTAAAAAGAAAAAAAAAAAGCTATGGAAATCATGTCTTTTTTCTCAGTGAATACTTCTTGCAATAAAGCTGAAAAGTAGTCTGATATAAGAAATGGAAACATTAACTTCTACAAGCTATTAATGATATGAAACATCTACAATTGATTTTTACTTGCATATGATTATTTCCTAATTTGGTACATTCTAATTACTACTAAACACATGATACGCTCCACCATAAAACAAGCTTGAACTAATAGAGAAGACAGTAAATAGACTAAGAAACCATTTTTGCTTCAACACTATATTTTAGTGTCCTGGTTTCAGCTGGGATGTAGTTAACTGTCTTCCTAGTAGCTGGTACAGTGCTGTGTTTTGAGTTCAGTATGTGAAGAATGTTGATAACACTGATGTTTTCAGTTGTTGCTCAGTAGTGTTTAGACTAGAGTCAAGGATTTTTCAGCTTCTCATGCCCAGCCAGGGCACCTGACCCAAACTGGCCAACAGCGTATTCCATACCATGGGACGTCCCATCTAGTTTAGGAACTGGGAAGGGGGGGGCAGGGATTGGCCGCTCGGGGACTGGCTGGGCGGTGAGCAATTGCCCTGCGCATCATTTGTACATTCCAATCCTTTTATTACTACTGTTGTCATTTTATTAGTGTTATCATTATCATTATTAGTTTCTTCTTTTCTGTTCTATTAAATCGTTCTTATCTCAACCCAGGAGTTTTACTTCTTTTCCTGATTTTCTCCCCCATCCCACTGAATGGGGGGGGAGTGAGTGAGCGGCTGCATGGTGCTTAGTTGCTGGCTGGGGGTAAACCACAACATTTAGAACATAGCATTTTAAGTTTTTTGGGGTTTGTAATTTAAAATAAAAATAAAAATAGAGCAGGTGTGAATATATTGGCCAGGGTGAGACTATAAACACACAAAATATTTTTGCAGGGTTGACCTGTACAGAAAGTGTTGCACTTCATCACCTTTTCCTCCTGTACTTTACCTACCATACTGAAAAATATGGTAAGCCCATGTTACATTTTCAAGTCATAAAAACCAGGACAGTCTTTGCTCTCTTTATACATGTCCCTCACCTGGTCAATCCATCAAAGGTCTTTACCCATTCTATTTGTCAATAATATAGTCATGATGCACACAAAGTCATGTTATCTCTGTTTTCTAAAGGAAAAAAAATGCATGTGGAACTGTAAATCATGCTTATAGTCTGTGCAAGAATATCATAAAGAATTAAAAAGATGATGCAGTTAAAAGTAAAATTTTAAATCACCAAGAGATTAACTATTATAAATACCTTAAATTACAGCTGTAAGAGCAAAGATGTACTTACTTCCCTGAAAGAATGTCTTGCCGGAGCTGTAATACAAACAGGTACCTGACAAATAAAAATTAGGAAAGTCAAAAGTATATATAATGTCATCTTTCTAGCCCCAAGGGCTGGAAAAATATCCCAATTCATTTTGCAGTCACAACATTTTCATTAACTTGCTCTTAAAGAAAAGGGGCCTTTGGGATCACTCAGATACACCCTGCAACCTTCACAGTTCCCATAGCTTTCACTAAAATCAAAAAGAAGAGAACATTTTTTACCTACTGGCTGTGTTCAGGACGTTTTCCAAAGCCTTGCTGTTTAGAGATGTGCTCTATCTGAGCATACACCACAGCCACCTAAATGTTATTGACGCTCCAGTGTTCTCCTGAATTGGGTCTTGCCCAATTCAGGCAAGAATTGAACTAGAGAATCTAGAGCCAAAACGCAGATAAAGGCATGAAGACTTCAGGGCTACCTTCTCAAACACAGATACTGAGCATGGGGAAAGTCCAAACTGGGCAAAAAGGAAAAGCTCAGACTAAATTTTCACTTAAAATAGCAGAAAAGTTCTGAATAAAAGAAACCTGAATTCCATAGAGCCCACGCATTTATTTAGGAGGCCAAGTAGGAATTTACAGCCTTCAAACTAGCAGTATTTTAAGCTGTTGCTAATCTTCAGTTCCAGGCATGCTTCAAGTTTCACAGCTGCTCAAGAGTTGGGGTTTGCAGCACGCAGAAGTGCCCCAGGTCCTGAAGAGCTCTGTACAGGGCAGGATGGCAGAGGCAGGCTCTGCACTGCTCTGGACACTGCAGGGTGAGGCTTGCAACGATGAGTGGCTCGAGAAAAGAAAGCATGAAGCACTACTGAATCTACCCAGTAAAGGCAAACATCAACTTCTCCTATCTTTACAAAGGATGCTATGAAGACCAAGTGTTTTTCATCACAGAGGACGTGCTGTGAACGTGGTGAAGGATGAGTCGTTGGAATCAGACAGGAAAACAGATACGAAAAGGAAGATTAAAAAGACTTCTCATGATACACTAAAGCAGAATCAGATGTATCCATGCTAGCTCTGTGTCACATCTCTGATTCACCTACTTGGCTAATACCTGACTTGCCACACAAACCTGGGTATCTGCATGCATAGATTAAGGGCAGCCAAGTATATTTCCTGTTCTTACTGTTTTCCCCTAATGACACACAACCCCCTGAACTCTTCTAAATTTGCAAGAAAAATCTGGGCAGTGCTTCTGTTATTGTCAGCTGGCCTGTGCAGGGCTGCAGCTCTGCTCTGGTTGGTATGGCTTACTCTTGCTCCTTTTCTGCACGCAGACTGACAAGCATTGCCATCTCAATTGTTGATATTCCAAATCAGCAAAATACCTTAGAAAATTCTCCACAACACACATGTACAGACATGTACATTCCTCTGTTGTTTTTCTAACTAAACTAACTAATCGGGTCCCATAAAAGTGACAGAAGATGTCTTCCAAAATGCACTGGATTTCAACTGTGTTTTTAAATTGGAAAAAGATAGAGTGGGTGAAGGGTTTCAACACTTCCCCATTACTGTGCTAATTATGAGATTGTGATGTTTACAGCTTCAGTAGAAACTGGAGTCTACTAGAAAACAGGTCTCCACAAGGAATTTCAAACACCCCCCCCAAACCAAGCCAGTTCATGGTTACTGTTAATGATCATTTTTCCTCCTCCTCTTACTCCCATTCGATTTCCCCTTGGAATAATTCTGAGTATATAGTTGTTAATCCTCACTTTTTACTCAACAAGCTACCTGGAAAATATGATCCAGCCAGCATAAAGATTCTTAAGAATCCAGCAACATTCAAAATTACTTTCCCCAACAAAAAAGGAAAATGCAACTATTTGTTCATTGTAAAATCAATTTCCAGCTCATTTTCATTTTCCTTGCATAGTTTCACAGTGGTCTTCTGTCAAGCTTATAATTAAAAAGAAAATTGTTCGTAATGCTGACAATTTAGCTGACTAAAGTGTTTTTCTAATTAAAATAGTCTTCTGAAATGTCACCTTTCAGCAATAATTAGATCACAAAACATCAGAGGTTAATACTTACAGAGGAAATGTCTTACTTGATCACAGCAATGATCACATAGCTCAGAAACCCACATCTCGCAGTGACTAGGATCATATACTTCAGAGGATTAAGCAAGAAATCTTGTGGTAGACAGTAATGGAATAATTTGACCACAGAGGGAATGTAATACTTGTCTAACATCACCCTGATGTATGAAGACTTACATCCATTTTCAGAAAATATATATTATTCCTACTAATTTAACTGCATTTTCTCATTAGAGAATCCCCCAAATCATCCAGGTTTTTGGATCCTCTAAGATCTTATACTCAATTACATAAGCGGCAGGGAGTTCTATAGGTTAATTATACATTGTCTGGCAATATGCGCTTTTATTGAATTAACACTTCTGCACTAAACTGATAATGGATATTAAAGCCTCCATGTCAGTATCATAAGGTGGTGACAATTAGCTCTTTGATCTTGTCTCAGGCAGTGAAAAAAAAAATACATGGTCAACACAGCAGATGGGAGACAGTAAACGTATGCCTGCAGGCATAAGTTTAATGCAAACATCACATGCACAGGAACTACAACAACCAACAATCTTTAAACATCTTAGGCTGACTGGGAGTACGCTGATTATTGCCAACCAAATTAGAAGACATAGAAAGTGCCCTACGGTGAGAAACAGAACAACAAAAAAAGATAAAATAACATTAAGATAGATGATTACTATACAAAGAAGACAAAGTTGGCAGATACAAAAGTCAACCCTTTTCCTCCAGCTGCTCTTTTCCTAGTTTTCAGAATATTCGCTAGATCACACCAGGGTGCTACGAACCCAGCAAGGTATAGTCCTCACAGCCCAGAAAACAGCCTACCAGAATGAAACAAAAGACCTCCAGGTATTCTAAGGTGACTTTATACAATGCAGTCCTTACACCTTTTGCACCACAGAGAACTCGTGGGGAAGTGGAAGAGATTCAACCAATCAACCAAGAACTCAAGCTGACTATTCCCACAATTCTGTGGCCTTTATACCATTATTAAATCACCCCCAAGTCTCAGGGCAAGTGGGACAATGCAGAGCACTGGTATTTTAGCAGGACACGATGGAAAGTGCTCCCAGAGGTATGGCAGGTATCGCTGGTGTAAGGAGCAGCTGTGTCCCAGCTGCAGCTCTCCCCACCCAACGCTGCCTTTCTTTGCTAACTTCAGAGCACCAGAACACAGCATCTCCTATAGACTAAAACACTCGGGAGAGGCCCATGAATGGTTTCTGGCAGCAAATAAAAAAGGTTATGTTTCTCTGACAGTAGGAAAACACCTAAGAAGTCAGACAAAATGACCACTCTTAGTAAGACAGCTCAAATCACCTGCTTACAGCACCCCCTTAGATGTCATATTTACCCCTCTGCCAGTCACCCAGTTAACCATGCATAGTTCCTACCTTGTAAACTCCTCATGAAGGTTGTTCGGTTCTGATGAATAGTACTTAATTCGAAAATGCAACGTGTACGGAGGTCCAACTGTATATGCAGAGATTTTAAATGGGGGAAAAAAAAGTTTACACTAGTTGCGGTTCTGCTAAGGCAGAACAACAGCCACCACCCCACAACCCAAGAAACCCAAAATTAAGTATGTTTTTCAAATTCTTCAAAGAAGCAAATATTTCATGGTTTTAAATTAAAAAATGCATGAAAAAAAGATTAGATGATTACCATACTTTATGATACTCTAATCATTAGATTAATCAAGCAATAGTCCATTTGGCAAACACATTTTTGTTAAAAGCCCCGCAGCATCCTGTGAATGACAGCAAGTTCCAGGTATGCTGCCTGTTGCTGGGGACAGGGAGATATGGAAGGGAGAGGGTGATGCTCCTTGTTACCAGGCTCAAACACAACTTCAAAAAACCCCACCCAGTAGATCGACTTCCGATTGATACATGCGAATGAGAAAAGGTGAGATAATAAGGTGAAAGTGGTGACGAGGACTCTGGAAGGCACCCATGAACACAGAAAGTTAACAAATTCCAGGAAGTGGAGTTGTAAGAATTGTTATTTGCTAATGCCAGAAGGTGAACGCTAGGTCTGACTTTCTATGTAACACAGATAATAAAATGTTACCCAGCTACGATGAGACTGTGACCAACGCATCCTTATCTGCCTAAGCCTCACCTTCCAGACTAACAGCCTGCTGGTATATTAAATGCTGGAAAAAATGACTCTTTTTCACACCTTTCTAAGGTCTTCTGTAACATGGCATCAACACAGTATATATGTGCCTATTAATGATTCATTCTACTAAACAATATGCAGCCAAAACTCTAACAATTAGAGCTTTGACGTTGGCTCCAACAATAGCTCCTAGAAGACAGGTTGTAAGCACCCTAGGCTGACAGGTAGGCACCACTGGTAAGGTCTGCATCAGCAAGATAATGACTCTTACCTGCTCACTGCTGGCAAAAAAAAAAAAAAAAAAAAAAAAAGAGCAGTGAGCAACATCCATCATGAAAGAGGAACTCTTCTCAAAGCACCTGCTGAATGTAAGGTAAAGAAAAGTATCCTGTTGTGAGACAGACCTTTACAACACTCATCAAATTGCTTCCCTCTTCAGCATTCCTTAGGGCAGGGCTTGGCCAATTTCTTTTAAAAACAGGCCCTTCACAGATTAAACACAGACAAACCAGTGCAACTAAACTGGTTGAAGGTGCCACAGAACCGTTGATTTTCCACATTTTAAGACAGATCAAGAAAAGGACAAAGCTATCGCAGAAAGCGCACCTGCAAATCACTTAGTCACTCGAGGTAGTCTGTGATGTGATGAAAAGGTGAGAGAAAGCCAACCACCAAAACCTTACCCATAGCAGCTATCTTTACCGTCTGTTCTAGCAGACTGACGCCAACACACCATGGGGTAAAAGCAAAATGTCCTAAAGGTCTTTGAAGAACTCCACCATTTACAAAAATCATCTAGATATGTGGATACTTATCAGAAAGAAAAGCAAAGCACCGCTGAAGCAATCAAGACCCATCTCTGTGAGGTCCTGCAAGGGGGTCAAAAATTCCCTCGCAAAATGCTGTATTTTAATCTCACAGAAGCGATATTATCAGTTGGCCTATGGCTGTTGCCAACTGCAGTACATTAACAAAACACCGTTAGTGCTGATGCTGTACTGTATCCAAGCCTGCAACCAGATTATTAGAGATCCAGGAGCAACTTGCCTGCCTTAGCCGATTACAACAAAAAACTCAGTGGCCAAACACTACCCCTCCACCCAAAACTCCCTTTGATGAAACAGCAGGTATTTCTGCTAGTTTTACTCATAATGTACAAAAAAAGAGGTTAACTGTTACTCAGTAAAATATTTGCCATTTTCTCTTTGGGGGGGGGGAAAAAAAAAAAAAAAAAAAAAAACGAACAGGAAATCTGTTCTGGATCAGAAGCAGTGACAGAAACAGCAATCTGTGTCCAGGCAACCTGATTTCACAGATCAGACTGACATTACCTGGCAACCTACTCTGCCTCAGACAAACAGCACATGTTTAACGGGGGCTACTGAAGGCTGGTCTATTGCTTATAAATGCTCTTGCATTTTGACATGTTACAGTCAGCCAATTAGCCATTAAATTAACTCTATTTCCTAAGAAATATTTATTCCATTAAAGGCCATATTTAAACATTCAAAATCACATTCAAATACTTTAAGTTCAAATTCTTAAGGAAGTAACAAAATAGGCAGACATGGTACTTACTTTTTATTTGCTTCTTAATGAATTTTGAATGGTCCAACCAGTGCTAAAAAAAGAAAATCCACATTTAAAAGCAGTTCCATTTCAAGATTTTGTTTACACAATAAACTAATTACAGTAAAATTTAACAGATAAAAATCTCTTAGAAGGAAATATTGCCATATTTATTTGCTAAACTTCTACACATTTGCAAAAGTATTTATTTGCACATTTACCAGCTTACCTTCTTTTATGGGGGAAAGCTTGACTAAAAAATGCATCAGCACTGCCAGAGAAGTTTCACTTTTCCAGAGAGGAAACCTCAAAATCCAAAGCCACGAAGCAGTGGTGTGTAAGGAAAATACCCTTTTGTCCCTCAGTTTAATTGTTGCCCAAGTGCCCCTGAGGACAGCAGGCCAAACCCCTGGGTTCCAGTCTCCTTTCAACTCCCCTGTTTGATGCAGAACCTCCAGAACCTGTACTGTCCTGCCTTCCATTGCTCCATAGCCAAGTTTTTTCAAGATAAGGATGAAGACTTAACCCCACTAAAAGCATTTTTTGAAACATTGATGCACACCCTCCCTCCCCTTTTTAAACTAATGGCAAAAGATCTTGAGTAGATGTAACTACGATGACAAACAAGTGTGCTTCCCAGCAAAGTTCATGCAGTCTCTCATCAATGCAAGCTGCATCTACAGAAGAGTAGCAATAAACACTCTCTGGTGTAAATTTAGCTTAAATCTTTGACTGTCTCTGTGCAACGTCCTACACAAGGCTGCAATCTGATGTGAAGCAACCCCATGTAAATGCTCCTGTCGCACAAGGTAATAAACCAGCATTTGGACTTCCTTGAGATAAATGTTCTTCTATCTTTATGTATATATTTATTTCAAAATAATCAACTAGGTACTATGGAACAAAATCTTAGGAGAAAAAAACTCTTTCTTCCTCCCTGTTGAAGCATTCATGCTTTCAGAAAAAGGAGGATCTCGGAATGACTACTTATCATTCCACTAACACCATGCCACCATGGCTAAACAAATGTGAAAAATTATTTGTTGGATAGCAATGCTGGTATTTATTTACTAAGTATGTCCTGAGCCAAGGCAAAAATTTATTTATCACAGGTACAGAGGAGTCTGACAACTTACAATCCTTGAGGTAAATAAATCTCATAAAAAAAGGAGACAAAGAAGGAGAAATGGAACAATTATTCTGAAGGTGCTTTTATTTGCATGAGACTTACTAGAGTCCTTTAGGTGAGGCTGCCAAGGATTCCATCCTTACGATTTGAGAAATCTCTACCAGAATGGAAATAAAACATTACAGCAGCTCATACAAATACATTCCTTAGAGTTGGAAGTAATTTATTCTGTCTCTACTTTGCTCTCTTATGAAGAATTACACCAGAAACCACAGCAGTTCACAGAAGCTTTGTGAAATTTCAAATTTTTGAAAACGAAAGAATATCAACATTGAAACTTTGCTTTTTTTACTGAAATTATACAAGTCTGTTACTTTCACACCTCCAGGGCAGATTAAGTTTTTATGCTTCAAATACCTAGCTACAAAAATGTCTCTCTCCTCAATATTTATTTTGGCTAAAGATAAACCACTCACAAAGACAAATATACTGATTCCATTAAAAGAAAACTTTAGCTTCATGTTAAATAAAACCAAACATGAATAACATCTATAGTACAGGCAAAAATCCTTCAATAACTTTTCATCTATGGCTCACATTAGTACCATGTTCAGAAATAAGCACCGCACAACCTGAACTACTATAATTCCCAGTGAAATAACAGCTGATAGTCCCAATCTTGGAATATGGTGTCCCAGGCACATTAAAACTCAAATAACAGCAAGTTTCAAACTGATTATTCTTAAGTGTAAATACTTCAAAGAAGGTTTAAAAATAACTAATAAGACTCTAGGAACTACTTGCGCAGACCATTAAATGAGACTATAGCCTAGGCGGGAAGCTATCATTCATTCTCCGTACCCAAGCAGCCAGAGGCAGACTGCTCCAGGAGATAAAGACAGCAAGCATTAAACTCATCTCTCCTCAGAAGCAAGAACGAGCTGCTCTTTTACCCCCAAGCCACATTGCACATCATGGCTGTGTGTGATGTGGCCATCACACAGATCACAAAATAAAAATACAGAGGTAGGAGGACATGGACTGGCAGTATTATTGGCCCAGTACCGGCAGAATTATTGGCCTACAAAATAGCTATTTGATGGAACCACAAAAGCACAAGGAAGTCACACATGCAATTACCATGATATCAGAAATAATTTGAAACCAAGAGAAAATTTTGCAACGCCATGTTTTGCGTGAACCTTCATGAAACCAGTTATTACCATTTCTAATATGCAAACAGTCTCTGAATAAACGTATAAAACAATGTGGCTGGGGATACCTCTTATCACAGTTTCAATACACAACAGCTCCTGAAAACTTTGGCCTTGTCAAAGCACTGGGGGTTTGGTTTTTTTTTTAAATATACTGACACATTCAATCCAGAAGTCTGATGTTCAGCATCCAGATTCCACCACTACATGATGTAAGCAACCTCTTAAATGCAATTAGTAGTTTCAGCTGGCTCTTGCAAAAATCTCACTGTATGCAGTTCCACACGTCTTCCTTTTGCAGTCATGGGCCCCTACAAATAGTACTGCAAGTTATAAAATGTCGATGACTCTTGCAAACATGCTTCTATGAAGTAGCAACAATAGGCACCCAGCTGTCCTGTGCCACCTCTGCAATTCACCATGTCTCCCTAGGAACACCATGACCACTGTTATCAGGAGACACTAAGGTCCTTCTTTGTTCATCTCCACGGTTGGACTGACTCAGCTCCAGCTTCCACTCCAGTGAAAGGTTCCCCTTTTCATGAAAAGGCTCTCAAATGCTTCAGCTATTCTTACCTCCTGCCCTTCCAGAGGTCTTGGTAAGACTAGCAACTCCATTCATTTGAAACAAAGGAGGAGTACTTTTCTCCTGCATCTTCTAAACGTATCAATCAAACATCCCATCTGTGCTGAGACTCACCATCCATCATTATTCTGTTGCAAACACTGCTGCTGTTCTGAAGAATCCACTTCATCTTTACTGGACACACTCTGCTAACCCTTGCGTGCTTTTGTGAAACCGCTCAAGTGCATGCATCTTTCTCCAATGACAAAGTGCAGTATCAGCTCATCTTTGTCATAGCGTAAGTATGTTCAGTCACTGTTTTTTGTGGACTCCAGTTTTATGATCCCCCTGCCTTCATTTCCTGCCCCCCCCCCCGGCTTAGTTCTGTTTCTAACCTTTAATACTTGAAGCATTATGAATGTTCTACGGCATCCGTTCTGTGAGAGCACCAAGCCTCAGCCATAAAAGTAATTTTCTGGCCAATTGTAACTACTGTACAGAGCAGAGAAAAAGCTAGTATAAGGCTTTTAAGTGAAGTGTGCTCAAAACCAGCCATTTGTGTTCCTACGTGCACTGGAATTTTCCTGAAAGCAAGCTCTGCAAGTGGAAGTGCAATGCTTCAAGCCATACTTCACACCTCCAGGCTTTGGTAAGGCTCTGAGAACAACACACCCCGACGTACTTACTGACCTTCATAGAAGGCTTGACCCCTACAGCACCCTCAGCAGTGACCATAAATTAAAACACAGTTTTGGCTACCAGGAAGTGATAAATAAAATTGTAATTGCAAAAAAAGCCTCATTGTCTTAATTTTCGCATTTATTTTTAACTTAATTAAGGCTAACAGATGAGCAGAAGCAACTGCAGGCTAGTTTTTCCCAGAAAGGACTTACTTAAAGACTACAGCATAAAGGTGTCAGTAGCATTGCTTAAGGCTTCAGTTCATCACTAATAAAAATATACCTGTGTTGTCTTAAATGGAATTTGGTCGTACGGACACTTAAAGAGACAAGCTGCTAGGACAGCATACACTGAACTCAAAAGGAAAAAGCTCTCAGTGACACCAAAGGCAGCAGGATTACACCCCTTTGCTCCTACTAGGGTCATAGAGCCACAATTATTTGTAACTGCAACAAAGAGGTTCTGTTTAATTTAAAAATATTTCTTTCAAACGTATCTGTGGCATATGATTTCAGTTGAATTGAATTTAATATGACAGAAAGTCTAGAAGGATTTTTTTAAAACAAATTGGTTTTAGCCACAATAAAATTTTGCCCCCTACAGTTCAAAACAACACAAAAATTTATTTGCAGAAACTCCTTCCTGTTCTGCCAAGTTCCCAAGATCTGCCTTTTGATCTTGATTTTGCAGAACATTTATCTTGTTTTGAGAACATACCTGCTAATTTTTAGTCCAAATTAATTGCCCAGTTACTTTAATAAACAGCTAGCTTTTCGTGAAAGAAAACTGTAATCTCATAACAGGAAAAGGCTGCTACACAACTCTTGCACCTGCCCATTTCATACTCCTGAAAATACATTTAGGATCATGCTGCATATGGATTACTTTAAGGCATTTTTTCCACGGCTCTTTACAGAAACTAAACATAAAATTAATATCACACATATTTCAAATCCTGTCATGGTAACGTTTTAATTATCACCATGAATATTAAGACTGAAAGATAGAACTGAAAAAGAAAAATCCCCCTTAGAGTATTATTTTTGCATACAGAGCAGCGTATCACAAAGCACCGTAACCAATCTGTGGCATTCATGAAAGCCTTGCCTGTCCCAGCCTGAGCCTGCACAGAGCTATCTCAGAAACGTCCTGATACGTGACGTGGTTTATCTGTAGTCCAGACAGACTACACATGAATGATGGAGAGCTATATGGACAACCTTCAAGACCATCAATGCTACCTTAATTCGTATACATGTGATAACCTACTTCGGCCCAAGGAATATTTTGCTTTGCAGACATGAGGTGACAGAAACAGAACTTACAATTGAACATGAACACAGACAATCACTATCACACAAAACAACAGTACATACAAGATTACTCCCTTTCTCTTCTCGGCAGTGAAACTTCATAACCCAGAGAGGGGGGGAATAAAAAAAGTAAACCACAAAAATGATAAA